ACAAACATACGAAGGAAGCCTGGTAACCCACATATATGGTTAGCAGGTGACCTTAACCTACCGACTGCAACTTGGGGTATGGACATAACCAGTAATTCCTCAAGTGCAGTCACTAACCTCACCAATAAATATATTAATTTGGTTAATGATGTAGGACTGGAGCAAATCATTAATGAACCCACACATCGTACGGAACATACCGCACATATTCTAGACTTGTTTTTCACTTCTAATCCCACTCTAGTAGAAAAAAGCAAAATTGTTCCTGGTCTAAGTGATCACGACATTCCAATAATTGATGTGCATACCAAGGCACAAAAAGTGCTCAAACATGGCAGACTAGTCTACCAGTGGAGAAAGGGGAATTTGGAGCAACTCCAGAAGGACATGGAAACCTATAGTAATAACTTTCTAAAAAGAGCTAATAAAAGGACAGCCTCGGGAAACTGGGAAGACTTTAAAGAAAACATTCTAGCGACAGCAAACAAACACATTCCTAGGAAGAAGGCGAGATGCCTACATAACCAGCCGTGGATTTCACCCCAAATTAGAAGGGCGATGCGTAAAAGGGACAAACTCTATTCAAAAGCTAAGAGCACTAACTCAAAAGAAACATGGTCCAAATTCAAGTCATGCAGAAAAGCGGTCAAGCAAAGAGTTAAAAAAGCCCACAGAGAGTACACCGCCAATTTCCTTGAAGAAAACATTAAAGACAACCCTAAAGCATTCTGGAGTTATATAAAAGCACTAAAACACGACAATACCAATATTGCAGCCATGAGGCATCATGGTGTGCTTACTTCAGACCCAAAGGAGAAGGTAGATGCCCTGGGTGATCAGTTTAGTTCTGTCTTCACAGAGGAGGACCTAACCAACATCCCATCCCTAGGGAGACCTGTGGCTCCGCACGCACCGCCTCTGTACATATCGGTGAATGGCGTCGCTAAACAGCTTTCTAAGCTTAATCCAAACAAGGCCTCGGGCCCAGATGGACTCTCACCAAGATTATTAAAAATCACAGCAACCCAAATTGCACCTGTGCTACAGGTTATTTTTACACAGTCACTAGACACCGGCGACGTCCCAGCAGATTGGAGAGCCGCTAATATTAGCCCCATCTTTAAGAAGGGAGATAAAAACCTCACCTGTTAACTACAGGCCGGTGTCGCTCACCTCAGTCTGTAGCAAAGTTTTGGAACATATTATACACAGCCATACCATGAGCCACCTTGACAAATATAATATATTATCTTCGACACAGCACGGTTTTCGTAAAGGACTATCATGCGAGAGTCAACTACTTTTGACAACCCATGACTTGGCTAGTACTCTTGACCTAAATAAGCAGGTCGACGCCATTGTGCTGGATTTCAGTAAAGCTTTTGATAAGGTCCCCCACAGTCGCTTACTGAATAAGCTCCAGCACTATGGCATCTCTGGCAAATTACTAACATGGCTACAAGCTTTTCTCACTCAAAGAACCCAATCAGTTGTCCTTGATGGTGTGGCCTCTAAGCCCGCCAAGGTAGTGTCTGGAGTACCGCAAGGCACTGTTTTGGGTCCGCTTTTGTTTCTCCTTTATATTAATGATCTTCCGAGTGTTGTGACCTCTAGTGTGCGTTTGTTTGCCGATGACTGCCTGTTGTACCGGGTTATTGAAAAACCCTCAGATGCTCTTGATCTACAAAAAGATCTCGATGCACTGACCCGGTGGCAGGACACATGGCAAATGTCCTTCAACCCCTCAAAGTGCCACACACTTCATATTACTCGTAAGCGTAACCCGATTATTACACAATACCGATTATGTTCAGAAAATCTTACTAGTGTTAAAACCCATCCATATCTTGGAGTCCAACTATCACAGGATATGAAATGGGACACACATATAAATTATGTCACTGGTAGAGTCTAATAGGATACTGGCAGTCATCCGCCGTAACCTTTCGCACTGTCCTCTTCGTGTCAAATCTACATGCTACAGAACACTTGTACGCCCACACCTGGAGTACTGTGCGACTGTATGGGATCCCCACACCATCGGTGGTTCCCAGGCGTTGGAGCGAGTCCAACGAAGGGCGGCGCGAATGACTGTTAGTGATTATGACTATACCAGCAGTGTTTCTGACATGCTAAAGCGCCTCCAGTGGCCGTTACTTGTTGACAGAAGGAGAACCGCTCGCTTGATATCTTTATATAAAATTGCTCATGGACATATTAATATTCATATGGAACAATACCTCAAACCTGCCCATAGGCGTACCAGAGGAAGTCATGAATATAAGTATCAAGCAATACCTGCCAAAACAGACTGTTTTAGATTTTCTTTTTTCCAAGAACGATAAATGAGTGGAACAAGTTATCGGGCCAGCTTGTAAAAGCCCAGACAGTGGAGGCCTTCAAGGCCGGGCTTCTGGCCGCGCAGCCATAGTCCGTCGCACCCCCCCCCCCTCTCAGTGATACCCCAGTAGGGGTGGTTAGAGAGTATCTAAGAAGAAGAAGAAGAAGGATACACTGGCGTTCTTATACATTACCTTATTTCCGTTTTTATATGTTTTTATGCATTCATCGTATGTCTACCAAGTTTTCAGAGAATGGTGTAGTAATAGAATTGAATTTTAATAACTTTGGTGTAATTATGACGTCATATGACGTCAGAGCTAATAATATAGTCCGCCATATTGGATTTTGACCAATTACGTCATCAAATTAGCATATTCTATGCATATTTAATGATTTAACTTATATTTATTTATGTAAGATGTTATTAATGTTGGAAAAGAAGTGTAATTTTATATAAAACTCAGAAAATTTTTATGTTTAAACCAAAATTACTTCTTTACTTCTATTTATTTTCAAAAAAACTACCCGTTGCCATTGCAACACAAAAAAACATCAACTTACTAGTATAAAACTAATATGAACTTTTTTCCAGAGACATTTTAGGAAAGGTCTCCAAATTTGATACTTCTAGCGCAAGCCGTTTAGCCGCTATCTGAGATCAGAGTTGGGCCTCAAAAGCCCCTTCAGTCTGAAATGGGTTTACAAATCGGGTATTTCTTCTTGTCTTCTTTTCTTCACCAAAAAATAGAAAAAGTTCAAAATGTATGATTTTTGTATGTAATGTGGACACAGAGGTTCCCACATCAGTTTGCAAAACAATTGAGCTGGTAGCATGTTGATAATTTCTAAAAATTAGCAAAAAACTGTTCTGGGGTCCGCGCGGACCCCAGGTGTACAGATTAATCAGTCCGGGAAGGTGTTCTGTTGAGGGTTAAAAGATCGTTATAACAACATGCCTAATGATGTCACATGTTCAATTGCGGTGCATAAAAAATAACATAGCTTTCAGTCTGATATACGCTACAAAGACCGGATTCAGTACAAACATTTAGCACGCTTGCTCTGTTTTACATTTAACCCTTTTCAAATTTTCACCAATTTTCAAAATTTGTCACCAAACAGACCCACCTTTGATCAACCCCTCTATGTACGACAAGGTTACCGCTCTACAAGATGATGGTGATTTCTCACTTAATTGTCTTGTCGAGGGAAATCCGAAACCGAAAGTAACGTGGCGGCGGAAGAATACAAAGTTGTACTGGAAAAATCCACTCCGGTTCAACCGGGTGCGCTACGACGTGGAGGGGACGTATCAATGCGTAGGAACAAGCGATGGATTCCCTCAGACGACTAAGGATGTTTTCGTCGATGTTTTAGGTTGGTTTCTTATCATTACATTCCACAAAAAGCTAGAATAGACATAGTTTGCCATAGCAAATCAAAATCGCTATCTAAAACAAGTGTACTAGTTAGTCGCAGCAGAACACAACTTGGATAATACAGGTTCCAAGCCTACTAGATTGTTTGAAAATGTAAAAGTTTTAATTTGTTTTTAATTCTTATTTGTAACAGGAAAGCCCTACATGGACGGGGAAGGGGACACGGCAATGTTATCTGTAGATACTGGAGAAACAGTTCGGCTTGGCTGTACAGTAGCAGCCGACCCATTGCCATCTCGCATCAATTGGATATGGCGAAATAACTATGGGCAGGAGACAGACTTAGATAATGCAGATTTCGATATCGTCACGTCCAGACGAAATCAGGAAATGACATCGACACTGACCCTACAGAATGTGGCTGTGAATGACAGTGGAAGCTACATCTGCGAGACAACTAACATGTTTGGCTCTGCCAAGCGAGACATGCACTTGGAGGTCAAAGGTCCACAATACGTAACAAAACGTAAACAATACTTCCATTTCTAAAACATAATTCATTTCCTTTATAACATCTTTAGAATAAATCATAATATAAACATTACATGAGAGTATCATTCAAACATTCACTCTTGTTTTTATTTGCTCAACAGAACCTCCGAACCTTGTGATGATAACATCTAATCAAATCAAAATCAAAACATTTGTTACTGCTGGAGTTCTTCTAGTGGTGACCGTCGCTGTCATTTTTATAGTCATCGCGAAGAAAAAGGGTTGGATATGCAAGTCTCACCTTGACGGTATGGTTGCGTTCAAGCTGTTATATTTGGAGTCATGGCTCAATTGTCAAATGTGAAAGAAATCTAAATCATCCGTAAATGCAAATTTATGATTTTGACAAACATGTGTGTGTAGTAGTCTTACAAATGCCTTCTTTGTCAGACTCATTTGACCTGTCAGCCTCCCGCCCGATGCCTCCTGGCACCATTGACTCCGATGTGGAGGGCCTACAGGAGCTACAGGAGATGTACGGTACCCTCAAACCACGTCCTCCGCCACGGATGAAGAAGTGGGAGTCCGTTGGACTTTCTTACTCAGGTAAATATCTACTTCAGCAATATTTTTGGCTGACCGCATGTTCTTGGTATATGCTCCTCTTTTATCTTCATTACTCTAATTTTCAGTCACACATCGTGATTTTAAACAAATCTTTATCAACGCAATGTAGGACTAGTCCACTCTACGTCCCTCCAATCCTATTCGACTGAAGAGCAGTAGCACCTGGCTATGTTCTCATTGATAATGCACATAGCAATTGACAGGTAGGAGTTTTCATCATAATTTTTATGAAAACATTTATTTGGTAATAAACGTGCAATACAATTGTTACTCTACCATCCTTCCACACTGAGTTAGAGTAATAGGTTATAATGATGATGCTATTTCATCAAAGAATAAAAGGTCATGATATTATTCACATTCATTAGGAATATACGATAATGAACTTTATCAACTCTAATCTTTAGCTTGAATATACACTTGACAGTATACCTGCTATTTTTTTACAGACTAATTTGTTTCAATATGTATTTTCTAGGTCATCACTGATGGTTCAATGATACTGCTGCGACAATGGTATATGGTCAGGGGAAAACGGCCTGTATACGTGTACTGTAAATTTGTGGGTCACCAACACGTGTTGGAAGGTAAAAGAAGTCGTGCATTTTCTTCTATTAAGCTGGCTGAAAAAAGGATGTCGTTGAAGAAGTCTGTCGTTATCGATATCGATGTATGTTGAATTCTATCTATAGATTAGGAAACTAGATGTAGACGAAATATGGACACGTACATTGGTGTTTTAACGCTCATTTGTAAATTAATATCACCCTTAACACAACGCGCGCTATAGATTAAGGTCATATCTACTCCTATACCCTAACTTATTAATACATATTGTAAGAGTATGAGCTTTTAACTGATGTAAGTATTAGAGATGACCATAAAAGAAAACAGTCATGCCCTTCAGTTTTTAAAAATAGCATACAGTGATCAATCTCTGTGCTCTCTGGATGGTTACTCATTATAGAGCGTAGATATACAGATAAGGGGAACTGACAGATTTCATAAATGAAGTGTGCTTCGTGTCAATCACTGTTAGTAACATGTTAGCAATGGTATAAAAAGAAATAAAGCTATTAAGGTAAATGACCACCGTGTGCTTTTTTGAGTCCTGATACAATTTCCATATTTCATGAGAAGCGCGGTAAAGGTTCTTCCCACAGTCTATTATGATGTCTTGGTCTAATTCATCATAATTTATGCAGTCATCAGCGGATCGCAAGAGGTCGCAAGTCATCCAACTCCACAAAATATACCACAATTCTTCAAAATTATGTATTAACGCCATAATCCCCTTCTTCCTTTCGAATAAAAACGATTTACGGTAATAGAATTTAGTGCAGATTCTATATATACAATCATTTCAAGAAGGACATGAGGTATTACCACAATAACGTTACACGCTTAATTCCTATCCATGCTGCAGTACTAGTTGTGATCGCAAGTGGCCTCACTAAAAGTAAACTTCAAATATAGTATAGTTTCAAAGAACTCAACTGATTGCTAAAAATAGAAACATATTCTATCCTTACACTGTGTGAGCTCCAAAAAAAATAATGTACAACCAAAGTTTGATTTTACATCTCATACACAAAATCAAAAGACCTTCAACAATAGTTTTTTTGATAAGGTGACAGGTTATCGATAATTTCATGCATCTATGCATCTAAGCAACATTAATCGCCTGCCTATCTCGGTAAGAATAACAATTGCTTTCTCAGATACATATGCAGCCTTCTGCAAGTTCATGATCTCATTGTCCCTGGAAGTTGTGCACCAAATCATCACTAACTTACTTAGGCCATGCATTATGGATGACATAATGTAATTGGAACACATTACTTGGATTCCTCCAGCCGAACTAATGTGTTCAGCTTTCCCCGAGGGCCATAGAAGGCTTTCATTTAGGGCCTGGGTCTATGGGTGTGCGCGCACTGATATACACTGAATTAGACTGTAAACTGCTATATGAGACTCTTGCGTGGTATTTTTCATTTTAAGAGCTGCATTGATTCGCCTTAAGAGGATAACATCATTCTAAAGTCTACGACAACACTGGACCTGGTGAATACTTGGCGAGATTGCTGGCAAGCCTCTAGATCTGCCTGTAAAATGACGAATATGCTGACTTGTGGGAACATGTTTATGATAACATTTGTCCGCATGTTTACCATCCTTCCCCAAGGTAGGTATTGATATTCGATGTTTATGTCACTGGGTATGAAGGGATCTGTGTGTTTCCATTGCATGCATGGTGCTGCATGTGTAGAATATTCAAGTTCTGCTACTGCCTTGTTATGTTATGCTAAGCACATATAGAAGCCACGCAAAATCAAAGAAAGCTCTCTTAGAAATTCGACCGTATTCATGATTTTACTGTTGATTAACCATGTCGCAATTGAATTTGTATGTCGCCGCTTCAATATGACCTACGTCGCAATTAGTCAGAATACGTCATTTTCCAAATTCGTCAAAAAACATAGCCATTTATTTGCTTAATACCAACTCACACCGCACTATTTCAGACGTAAACATGATATTTACTTACATGCAAAACGAAATGTTTTAACATATAACAGTACATATTTATGCAATTAAAAACTAAAGATTAGACTCATAGACCTCACCCAATACTAGCCTGTTAATTTTATTTACGGAGTCACTGCAGTAATTGTCATCATTCAATTGAATTTGATAAGGTGGAAAATTATCAATGTAATTGTTGGCAGATAAATTGATGCCTAATAATGATGTTATACATAATCGTAAGGCTGAAGCCTGTAAATGGTGCAAATGGTGCCTGCAAAAAACCATGACCCAATTTTATTGCCTTATACCTCATGTCTTTGCGGGCCTTCGTTGCTGCAGGCAATAATAATACTTCCGTCTGGAAAATTGATTCGAGGAATACGTATCACCGAGCACACCAAAGACTCGTATAAGCCAAATGTCACAGTAAGCTCTCACAGGAGCTATCTTATGATCTGAATTGCAGGCAAATCCATTATAAGAGTTTCCGCATACATGACAACACTGAGCGGCCTTCGCTATTGAGTCCGATGTTAACAACAATCTATCATTGCCTCTGTGAGCTCTATTGGCTCCTCGATCAGCCTGTATGTTACTTTAATCAAGTAAGACGTTCCCAATAACACCATCAGTATTCTTTGTAGGTCGTAAGACGTGACTTTAGGTGAATGCATGTATCCACACATTATTTCTAAATCTTACTTGATATACATGTACATGTACCCACATGACTCCAACAAGGTTTTAGTCCATGATTACAAAAGGCAAAGTTTTTGTTTTTGTTTTAATTTGTATACAACAGTGTGTTTCAATCTGTGCATAAGCACACGTGTTATTCAAAGTATACGATGGAATGCCTGGATATTGCAGATAGCAAAACTCTTTGTAACACGGAAATCTCTGCCATCTCCGGTTTTCCAGTGCCTGGTGCATTAGAACCAACCCATGTGTATTAATGAAAGCCTATCGCACCAGCAGGTCACTGACGGCATTCTGTTCGACAATCTCTCAGGACAAGAGTTACACGATAGAATTGTTCTTCAGAAGGCATCATCAATCACAAGCACTTTAGATTTGACATTTGATACAGCAACAATCACCACCTGACCAATATGGTACCGGGAAATGTCGTTAGTGTGCAATTACCTATAAACCTGTAAGATAAATAATATGTTAAAAATCTTGGTATTACAGAATCCATATGACTTCCAGTCCAATTCACATCACCAATGAGTTTCAGTAAATATCCGAGTTACAGTATCTTTAGTTTTAACCTTGAAAAAGTACATGTGGATATTGCTGTAAGTGATTACCAAGTCTGCTGTTAGAGTGCATCTATTAACTGATATATCAAGCGCATAGAACATGCGCTTACTTCACTGTAATGGGCTCGTCACCGTACAACCTGCCCACCATAGGTAGTTCGTTATGTAACATATGCTTCTTAGATCAGATAATAGCTATTATCATCTGTTTATATTTGACATTTATATTTAAGGTATACTAGCTGTTAAAGGATCTTTAAAAAATCGATATGTAGAATGTATCATATTTGACATTTATCGCTCTGTGTATTTTCATCGAAGCTTGGGCTGTCAGCTATAATGAAGTACCAGAGCCCACTGCCGTCCTACTGGGACATACAGCTACATTTCGGTGCAGCTTCCATGGGAGATCGCCAGAGGATGTTGTCATTTGGAGCGGACCACCTGACATGACGGCCATTACTTCTGGACGCCGGGTCGATCCAAACTACCCACGTCACAAGGTCACAGTATTCTTGCAATGATATTTTATCACTATTAGAATACATCAACAATCTACAAACCAAACATGCCATTATTTATCTTCTTGTTCATGTGTGACGAATGTATCAACGCGCTATATCATGTGTTCATCGTACTGCTAGGTTGTTGGAGACATGCAGAAAGGAGAATTTCACTTACAGATTCTAGACATTCAACTTAAGGACGGAGGAGCTTACAAGTGCCACATCTTTGGTCTTTCTTCTAAACGGGCAACATTGACTGTAATAGGTAGGAAATGCATTCTTAATGATTAAATCAAATTTACCTATTACATTCATGCTTACTAGATTCACCTTGCCATTTGGTAAAATTACTATTAATTTATTAAACATTATACGTCTTCATATTTGAATCAGCACAATCAGAATATAGTGGTTTATCACATCCCATGATTCGATCACCGTTTGTTAACTTCTTTAGGGTAATAGCTACTAATAATCCACTTCTCTTACAAGCCTGATTGGATTCTCCAGGTATCTGGAAACACTTTCTTCCTTAAAATGTGCATGACGTACATCTTTAACATTTAACTCTGTTTCATATCAAAATGCATATCAGTTCCAGTTCCACAACCCCCTACACTGAGAGGTGCAGAAATACCAAAAAATGCGGGGCAGCAACTGGAGCTTAGCTGTACCTCCTCAGGGGGAAACCCGCTCCCCAAGCTTACCTGGTACAACGGCACAAAGGCATTTACTGAGCAATACGTCAAACGGCAACAACAGGAAGGCCGTGTTGAAGCTGACCTTATCCTGCGGCGTCTGACCAAATGGGATAACGGTATGAACCTGACTTGCAGAGCGAGCCAACCGTTTCCAGAGATTACTTCAGTGCAAGAATCCTGGAAACTTTTACAAGTGAATTGTAAGTCACCATTGTATTATGTCGAAACAAAGAAGATTGTAGATTGTCATATTTTGGCATAAGCTCTAATTCTGCTTATGAAGACAATATGATAAGGAAAATTGTCAGTTGCATATCACCCTAGCCTTTAGCATCTTATTTAGTTTTCTTTTTTTTTCATTACAGATCCCCCAAGTATATCTGTTCCAACCACATCAGTACAAGTCAAAGAGGGAGATCCGGCACTTTTATCGTGTCTGGTAGACAGCAATCCATTTGCGAGCATCACCTGGACTAAACATGGTCTTCCCGTTACTATTAGTGATATGGGGTAATAAAATCATGTATCCTTACGTTAGCACTGTAGGTAATGGACATATTTACCATGTGTGTGAGTTTTGTTTCTATAAAATGACTTTATACAAATCTACAATAGAATTCCCATCTGTACTACAGATCGGGCACTTACCGCATTCCCCGTGCATCTCGTCAAGACGCAGGGATTTACCAATGCACAGCAGACAACGGCGTGTTTCCTAAAGCTGTGGGCACTGTATCGTTGGATGTTCTGTGTAAGTACTAGCAAACTTTCTGTAGGTCGTAAAAATGAAACTCGTTTTTCATCTGGGGCACTATGTCACCTTGTACTATGTTCCTTATCTCGTAGATGCCGGGTACGATTGGTACCCAATTCAAGAATTTAATTTTGATATTGGTTTTTAAATATTCTACAGATCCGCCAAGTATTGATCCCTCCATGGAAAAGAAGGTTACCGTTCTGCAAGGCAATGATGAGTTCTCATTGGAATGTCTGGCGGAAGGAAATCCAGAACCGCGAGTGAAATGGTGGCGGAAGGATACTAACCTATACTGGGAAAACCCACTGCGGTTCCACCGGGTGCACTACGACATCGAGGGAACGTATCAATGCGTCGCTATAAGTAATGGGTTCCCTCAGAGCACGAAAGACATTCACATCGATGTCATAGGTTAGTTCGGTATCATGATAAACAATGTAGTAAATGATGATTGAGTTTCTTTTTCACTCATTGAATTTCTACGATTGTCAATTGACAAACTACAACACTAGTAATGTGATATTTTTGTGATTTAATACAGGGAAACCGCATCTAGATGGACATGGAAATTCGGCTATGATAAATGCAGCTGTTGGAGAAACAGTTCGGCTTCCTTGTGCAGTTTTCGCTGACCCTCTGCCATCTAATGTTGAATGGATATGGAGAAATAAGTACGGATTGGAAACTGAACTGGACAGCTCCATTGCTCAGATTGATACTATTAGAAGAAACCAGAGAATGACGTCGACACTAACGATACCGGATGTTGCCGTGAAGGATGGCGGGGATTACATCTGCAAGACAACTAACATGTTTGGATCCGCCATGCGAAATATTCACTTGGAGATCGAAGGTACGTGTTGTTGTCTAGCTACCACGTTAGTGATCACTACAACTTCTACATCTATGGACATGTACGACTAAATGATCAAAAGTTGGAACAGTAAAGTGAGTTTGTAAAGCTACTGACAGCTAGAATCTTTATAATCTAGTCTGCATGTCTAGCAATGAAAGTGTTGCAAGCTTTCTGTAGTGCCATTTGCTTGCTTCACAGAGACTATTCCGAATGTTATCGTCATCACTTCCATCGTTGCTGGAGCGATACTAGTGCTGACAGTAGCAGCAGTTCTGGTGGCCATTGCCAAGAGAAAGGGCTGGATCTGCAAGTCTGACTTAGATGGTATGGTTTTAACTACATTTGTAAGATACCTCCAACGTTAACTGATGCTACTGGATTAAAATATGTGCAAGTAACAGCTAAATTAAAGTAATAGAAACCACATTCATCTGTAAATAAAAAGTTATATATCAACATTTCACAAATTTAAACGTCAAAGTTAATGACTTTTTTCAGACTCATTGGAGCTCCCAGCTTCTCGCCCGATGCCCCCTGTACCGAAGTACGTGTACAAGACCGGTACCATTGACTCCGGTGTGGAGGACCTACAGGAGCTACAGGAGATGTACGGTACTCTCAAACCACGTCCTCCGCCACGGATGGAGAAGAAGTGGGAGTCGGTTGGACTTTCCTACACTGGTATTTAAGAATCTGATGATTTTCGTTAGACTTATTTTTCTCCATTTTCAAACGATTTATATCAGACAAGTTGAAAACCATTAAAACGGTTAAATGTTACTATATTAGATATTAGATGTCTACTTGGTTGTAGTCATGCATTGCATGATGACAATACAATAATTCTCAATCTCATCTATATTTTACATTGCAGGTCTAGTCCACTCCACGTCTCTTCCACCATACCCTTCCGTGTAACTGCGCTATCTACCCCTGCAGCCAGCAGCCAAGTTTAAAACAACAACTATCAAAATTGTATGTGGATCAGAAAAATAGAATGTAACTATCATAAACTTGAAACGGAATTAGGATGATCTCAGATGTTTAAATCAGTACAAGCTAGATAAAGAGCTGTGGTCTAAGAAAGAATAACTTCGACATAATCATGTTAAAACAAGGACAGTGTCGCCATGATTACCTCCTTTTTTGTACCGAGACATGCACTCCTAAAATTCAAACAATATTGGAGTGATTTGTCAAAAACAGGCATCTTACAGTTCTGAAAAAAAAGACAGTTCATGACTTAACGCAATCATACCAGTAATATCACTTCAGGGAAAGTGGCGCGACAATGTCTAGACGTGCGCATACATTCAGATATGCATCAGACTAAGAAAGCTAGCCATTTTTTGTAGCTGTCAACCTAATGACATGCATTAGTAATTAAAGTAGGTTTAACAGGTTGCTTGAAAAGAGATCATCCGACGGCTAAACGGATTGTGTGCGGTAGATGTGACCATAGGTGTTATAAGCAAGCTGCCGATTTTTGCATGTGGACCATACGAGAGATTGTTAG